TTCAAAACCAGGCTAGAAGGTTTTCAGAATTTCTTAGAAAAGGCTGATAAATTTAATGAGACCCAACTATAAATTAAACATAAACTTACTGAAATAAAAATATACAGAGATCCAACAGCAGACTGGAGAAACACAAGAATAAAGTCAAAAATTTGGAATACAAAGAGCCAAAGGACACTCCTCTGGAAACGCAAGAAGAAAGAGAATCCAAAAAGTTGAAGATAGTGTAAGGAGCCTCTGGGACAACTTCAAGTGTACCAAAATCAGAATTAGGGGAGTGTCAGAAGAAGAGAGAGTGCAAGATACTGAAAATCTAATTGAGAAATAATGTCAGAAAACTTCCCCACCTGGTGAAAGAAATAGACTTACAAGTACAGGAAGCACACAGAACCCCAAACAAAAGGAATCCAAAGAAGATCAGACATGATACATCATAACTAAAATGCCAAGGGCAAAAGACAAAGAGAGATCTAACAAGCAGCAAGAGAAAAGCAGTTTGGTTACCTATAAGGGAGCACCCATACGACTATCAGAACTATGCAAGGGAGTGATAAGAAATATTCAAAGTGATGAATAGTGAGACCTACAACCAAGATTACTGTATCTGGCAAAGTTATCATTCAGAATTGAAGGGCAGATCAAGAGCTTCACAGATAAGAAAAGCTAAAGGAGTTCATCACCACCAAACCAGTATTATATGAAATGCTGAAAGGTATTCTTTAGAAGAGGAAGAAGAAGAAAAAAGATTAAAAAAATTATGATCAACAAATACATTATATCAACAAGTGGAATCTAAATATCAAGTGAATTAAAAATCTGAGGAATAGAATAAACTGGTGAATATAATAGAATCAGGGGCAAAGAAAGGGAGTTGACTGATAATTATCAGGGGAAAAGGGATGTTGGGGTACAGGAAGAGACTGGATTAAATCATACACCTATGGATGAGGACAATGGGAGAGGGGAAAGGGAGGTATGGGTGGGGTCGAGGCAGGAACCGGGTTTGAAGAGAGCTATGGGGGGGGGGAACAGGAGAAACAATTGTAATAATCTGAGCAATAAATATTTATTAATAAATAAAATAAAATAAAATATAAAGATCTATTTTATTTCCTGCTGACAAAAGTGGTGCCTGTGAGCCTCTTGCCTGTTTCTGCTCTAATAAGCAAAGTTTGCAAGTGTCACATAGTGTAATTAGCTTGTTTTTGTTTAGTATCATTTATCAGAAGTATGAACTGTTTTCTTTATAATTGATTAAGAATCTATGACATGAATAGATATTGATAAACATTTCTTCTAGATTTGTGACATTAAATGTTATCAAAACTCAGCTCTGCACTGATGAGGCGATCACTTCATATTTTAGTTTCAATCTGCTCATGTCATGAGAGAGGTTAATTTGCTGACTTTCGTTCATAGTGCTCACACAGCTGGGCTGTGAATTTTTATAATGCATTGTCCTTTAATACATTGCCCATTCATTTTGACACTACTTAGTTTCAGATTTTGGCCTTGGTCTCCAAAAAGGATTGACCCATTATTTGAACTCTCCCTATCAATCAGATGTTGATGATAGAGGTCATGCTGGTGCCACATATTAAGCCAGGGACTCTATGTCCTTCTCTAGCTCTAGAAAGATCTCATGCAATAATTTCTTTACAGAATGGTTCAAATAATTTTCTTTTTAAAAAAAATAATATTTTAAAATATATTTTTATTGATTTTTTTTTTAAGAGAGGAAAGGAGAGGGATAGAGAGCTAGAAACATCAATGAAAGAGAACATCAACCAGTTGCCTCCTGCACACTCCCCACTGGGGATGTGCCTGCAACCAATGTACATGCCCTTGACCGGAATCGAACCTGGGACCCTCTCAGTCCGAAGACCTACGCTCTATCCACTGAGCCAAACCGGTTTTGGTGGTTCATATAATTTTCCATTGGAGCCACTGGGTGTCATCTTCACCTGTAAGAACTATTTTTTATTGTGGTTCCATTTATTAAAAAGGATTGTAGAACTATTTGAGCTGTCAAAATCTTATGCCACTTTCATATAATTTTCTAATAATTTGGTCATTTCTCAAACCTTTCATATTTACTCCTACAAAATCATTTGTCATATTCTCTTAAAGTAACAATTAAAAATGTATAGTGAATTTTTTCTGTATGTATAATACCCACAAGTTATTTTACACGGATATAACACTACACTATTATGTAGAGGCACCTGAAAGTCGATTTGAGGTTAAAACTCTCCTAACAAAATGAAAACACAGTTCACAGACACCTCCGTGAACAAAGCAGACAGGGACAAATACACATGAGTCGTTAGGAAACATTATGACATAAATACTGACTCAACTATCACTATAGTTACTTGCCTTCAACAAGGCGTGCAGTGTGGGAGAAGCTCTTTATTCCCCTCTATGTCTAAATCTATACATTAGAATCCCAGGGGATTCTGACAGGACACAAAAGGAAACCAAGATGTACTTTAAGAAGAGAATGCCAGACCTCACATGTGCAGGTCCACGGCACACCCCAGCCAATCCTCTGCTCCTTCTTTACTTTTTGCAAAGACCTTGCAAGAAATCGTGGATCTAGATTTTGCAACAAGTGAGGATCCAGCAACTTCTACATCCACACACAAAGGAGCGCCCTAAAAAACTACAATTGGCTAACACACGGTTCAGTCTTGAAATTGATGCAAGTAAGACTGGATGGCAGGAACTTCCCCATAAAATGTTGTAAGGAAAGCCAAACCTGTCTCTGCCCATGTTGATGGGTGCAGGCATCTGGGAGCTAGCAGGACATGGGGACTAGGAAATTCACATGACACAGGTAAGAAATGTCTGGTCTACCTCAAACTCCATGTGACAGGTAGAGCCCGAGTCCCAGCTGGTGAGGAGCACCCAGAAGGCTCTGGCAGGTGCTGGGAACCATGACTGAGCAAAACCTGAGCACCACTCCACGTGTATAGGATCACCGCCCCCTTCTGTTCACACTCTGCCCACCCAGCTTGGTCTGGCCCCACCACTGGGATGATATGGGAGATGGAGGATAGAAGGCTAAAGAGGTGAGATCCAGTGGAAAGATCACCAGGGTGTACCCGGCTGTAGTCATTACCTACACACAAAGCTCAGTTAGTGCCACCAAAGAACTGACCTGGGACATCCAGATGGAAGGTGACCTTCTGGCCCCCGGCCTCGCAGCTGTACTCCCCGCTGTCCCCCTTGGCCGCCTGCTGCAGCACCAGCCGCCGGGTGCAGCCCGTGGCCTCCACACGCACTTTTGAGCTCCCACTCAGCTTCTTGCCATCCTTGTACCACGTCACCTCTGTCTGGGCCTGGGCCACCTCGCAGCTCAGCGTGGCACTGGCCCCAGCCATGGTCTTCACCTCGCTGTGTGCAGACTGCTCCTTGGCAAACACCACCTTGGGCTCTGTGGACAGGGAGGCACACACAGGGTCAAAGATATTTTCTAAATGAGGAGGGCAGCACTGGGTCAGAAGGACTAAGGAGGGAGATGGCAGGGCAGGGAAATCCTCAAGGCTCAGTATGGCTTGCAGAAGCCCCAGCACCTTCTCAGCACAAGTAGCTCATTCATCTGCACAGTAACCACTGCCCATGGGGGTGATCCCTGCTGGGGACACCGTGATGGACTTCTCTAGAGCACACACCCTCTAGCAGAAGGACTTCAGGCCATGAGGGGTGCACACACCCTCCCCAGGTGACCAAGTCTTTCCTGGATGTGCAGGGAGCATTCCCACCGAGCCAGGGACAGGTCCTGGGCTCCACCTCCCACCTGCCTTCCATGTGTCACCTGCTGGCCTCCTAGGGAACTGAGTTGTGCCTCCTGAGCCTGTCTCTTCCATGGTGTGGATGACTCACAAAGTGGTGCACCTTGGCTATGTTTTTAGTCTTTACTGTTTGCTCTTCTGTGGTGTGTCTGTTCATGGGTGTTTGGGGCACCATAATACTTCTCCCCACTCCCACCAAGTCTAATGATGTATCTTTTGAGTAAATCATTATTATCTCAATTTGACTTCAGTTTTTCACACTTTTATACGTTTTACTTTATTTCCTGCTAACAAAAGTGGTGACTGTGAGCCCCCTTCCTGTTCCTGCTCTGTAAATCAAAGCTTTTAAGTGACAAGCAAAGTTTGCAAGTGTCACATAGTGTCATTACGTGGTTTTCCTTCAGTATCATTTATCAGAACAAGGATGAACTGTTTTCTTTATAATAGGACAAGAATCTATGGCACGAATAAATATTAATAAACAATTCTTCTAGATGTCTGACATTAAATGTTATCAAAACTTAACTCTGCACTGATTAGACGATCACTTCATATTTTAGTTTCAATCTGATATTGTCATGAGTGATGTTGATTTCTGACCTTTGCAGTGCTCACACAGCTGGGCTGAGACTTTTATATACTGCATCATTCTCAATATAATGCCAATCCATTTTGATAGTACCTAGCTTCAGATGTTGGCATTGGTTTCCACAATAGATTGGCACTTAATTTGAACTCTCCTTATCAAATGTTGGTGATAGATGTCATGCTGATGCCACATATTGTGCCAGGGACTCTAAGTCCTTCTATAGTTCTAGAAATATCTCCATGAACATGCAATAATTTCTTTAGAGAATGGTTAATATAATTTTCCATTGGAGCCACTGGGGTGTCATCTTGACCAAATAAACGTTTTTTTGTTTTTGTTTTTTGTGGTTCATTTTATTGAAAAGGATTGCAGAACTATTTGAACTGTCAAAATCTTATGCACATTAATATAGTTTTCTAATAATTTGCTAAATTTCTCAAACCTTTTTGTATTTACTCCTACAAAATCATTTGTCATATTCTCCTAAAGTAACAATTAAAAATGTATAGTGATTTTTTTTATTTATACACGCTCACAAGTTATTTTACACCGATATAAAACTACACCATTATGTAGAGGCACCTGGAAGTCAATTTGAGATTTAAACTCTCCTAACAAAATGAAAACACAGTTAGTTTCACAGACATCTCTGTGAACAAAGAAGACAGGGATAAATATACATGAGTCATTAGGAAATACTATGACATAAATACTGACTCAATAGTCAAGGGCTATCGCTATAGTAGCTTATCCTCAACAAGCCGTGAAGTGTGGGAGAAGCTCCTTATTCCCCTCCATGTCTAAATCTATACATCAGACTCCCAGGGGATTCTGACACAGGACACAAAAGGAAACCAAGATGTACTTTAGGAAGATATTGCAGACCTCAAGGGTGCAGGTCCACGGCACACACCTGATAATCCTCTGGTCTCTGTTTAGTTTTTGCACAATTCTTGGAAAAGAATCATAGATCTAGATTTTGAGACAAGTGAGGATCTAGTAACTTCTATATTCAAACACAAGGGAGTGCCCTAAAAAGCTACAATTGGCTAACACAGTGTTCAGTCTTGAAATTGATGCAAGTAAGACTGGGTGGCAGGAACTTCCCCATATTCTGTTGTAATGAAATTCAAACGTGTCTTTGCCCATGTTGCTGGGTGCGGGAATCTGGGAACTACCAAAACGTGGGGAGTAGGAAACTCACACGACACATGGTAAGAGATGTCTGGTCTACCTCACACTCCATGTGAAAGGTAGAGAATGAGTCGAGGCTGGTGAGGAGCACCCAGAAGGCTCTGGCAGGTGCTGGGAACCATGACTGAGCAAAACCTGAGCACCACTCCGCGTGTACAGGATCACTTTTCCCTTCGCTCACACTCTGCCCTCCCAGCCTGGTCTGGCCCCACCACTGGGATGATATGGGAGATGGAGGATAGAAGGCTAAAGAGGTGAGATCCAGTGGAAAGAGAGACAGGGTGTGCCGGCTGTAGTCATTACCTACACACAAAGCTCAGTTAGTGCCACCAAAGAACTGACCTGGGATATCCAGATGGAAGGTGACCTTCTGGCCCCCGGCCTCGCAGCTGTACTCCCCGCTGTCCCCCTTGGCCGCCTGCTGCAGCACCAGCCGCCGGGTGCAGCCCGTGGCCTCCACACGCACTTTTGAGCTCCCACTCAGCTTCTTGCCATCCTTGTACCACGTCACCTCTGTCTGGGCCTGGGCCACCTCGCAGCTCAGCGTGGCACTGGCCCCAGCCATGGCCTTCACCTCGCTGTGTGCAGACTGCTCCTTGGCAAACACCACCTTGGGCTCTGCAAACAGAGAGGCACACACAGGGTCAAAGATATCTTCTAAATCAGGAGGACAGGACTTGGGACACAAGGACTAAGCAGGGAGTTAGCAGGATGGGAAAATCCTCAAGGCTCTGTGTGGCCTGAAAAAGCCCCAGCACCTTCTCAGCGCAAGTAGCTCATTCATCTGCACATTGACCATTACCCCGGGTGTGGTCCCTGCTGTGGACACTGGGAAGGACTTCTCCGGAGCACACACCCTCTAGCAGAGGGACTTCAGGTCATGTGGGGTGTACACACCCTCCCAGGTGACCAAGTCCTTCCTGGATGTGCAGGGTGCATTCCCACCCAGCCAGGGACAGGTCCTGGGCTCCACCTCCCACCTGCCTTCCGTGTGTCACCTGCTGGCCTCCTGGGAGACTGAGCTGTGCCTCCTGAGCCTATCTCTTCCATGGTGTGGATGACTCACAAAGTGGTGGGCCTTGGCTATGTTTACAGGCTGTACTCTTTGCTCCTCTGTGGTGTGTCTGTTATTTGGATTGGGAGCACTGTAATACTTCTCCCCACTCCCACCAAGTCTAATGTATTTGTTGCATCAATCATATTATCTGAATTTCACTTCAATTTTTTTCACACTTTTAGACATTGTACTGTATTTCCCACTGACAAATTTGGTGACTTGAACTCCATTGCCTCTTCTTGCTCTCAGAAGCAAGGCTTCCAAGTGTCACTTATTGTCAGTAGCTGGCTTTCCTTCAGTATAATTTATCAGTAGAAGGTTGAACCATTTTATTTATAACTAGAGTCCCAGTGCACAAAATTTGTGCATGGGTATGGTCACTAGCCCTTGCCAGCGATTTAGGCCTCTCAGGGCTTTCTGGCTGCAGGCTTGAGTCTTCCTTTGTTCTAGGCCACCCACTAGTGGTCAGCATATGTCACAGTGAGTGATTGAACAACTAGTCTCTCAGTCACATTCCCAAGAGAACATTTCCCATATTAGGCTTTTATATATATAGATTGGTTAAGAATTTATTGCATGAATAGATATTGATGAACATTTCTTCTAGATTTCTGACATCGTTATCAAAACTCAACTCTGCACTGGTGAGATGATCACTTCATATTTTAGTTTCAGTCTACTCATGTCATGAGTGATGTTGATTTGCTGACCTTTGTGGTGCTCACACAGCGAGGCTGTGACTTTCTTTATACTGCATAGTCCTTTTAATACATTGCCCATTCATTTTGATTACACCTAGCTTCATGTTTTGGCCTTGGTTTCCTATAATGGATTGGCCCATAATTTGAACTCTCCCTCAAAGATGTCATGAGGGTGCCACGTAGTAAGCCAGAGACTGTATGTCCTTCTCTAGCTTAAGAAGCATCTCCATGAACATGCAATAATGTCCTTACAGAATAGTTCATATAATTTTACAGTGGAGCCAATAAGAACTTCTATTTATTGTGGTTCCATTTATTGCAACACTTGTAGGACTGTTTTAGCTGTCAAAATCTTTTGCCACATTTGGCCGAAACGTGTTTGGCTCAGTGGTAGAGCTTCGGTCTGTGGACTGAAAGGTCCCGGGTTCAATTCCGGTCAAGAGCACGTACCTTGGTTGTGGGCACATCCGCAGTGGGAGGAGTGCAAGAGGCAACTGGTCGATGTTTCTCTCTCATCGATGTTTCTAGCTCTCTATCTCTCTCCCTTCCTCTCTGTAAAAAATCAATAAAATATATATTTTTTAAAAATCTTTTGCCACATTTCATAGAGTGTTCTAATAATTTGGTCAATTTCTTAAACATTTTCATGTTTACACCTATAAAATGATTTGTCATATTCTCCTAAATTAACAATTAAAATTTTACAGTGGATTTTTTTTTATCTATACACAGCCACAAGTTATTGTATATAGATATAACTGTTATGTAGAGCACCGAGAAGTCGATTTGTGATTAAAACTCTCCTAACAAAATGAAAAAACAGTTAGTGCACAGACATCTCTGTGAACAAATCAGAGAGGAAAAATACACATGAGTTGTTAAAAAATACTACGGCATAAATACTGTCAAGGGCTATCACTAGAGTTACTTGTCTTCAACAAGGTGTGCAGTGTGGGATAAACTCCTTATTCCCCTCCATGTCTAAATCTATACATCAGAATTCCAGGGGACTCTGACATAAGACACGAAAAGAAACTAAGATGCACTTTAGGAAATGAATTCCAGACCTCACAGGTGCAGGTCCCCAACACACACCTGCTAATCCTATCCCCCTTCTTTACCTTTTTAGCACAGAAAATGCAAGAAAACATGTTTCTAGATTTTGTGACAAGTAAGGATCCAGTAACTTCTACATCCACACACAAGAGAGTGCCCTAAAAAAACTACTATTTGTGAAAACACTGTTCAGTCTTGAGATGGATGCAAGTAAGACTGGGTGGCAGGAACTTCCCATATACACGTGTCTTTGCCCATGTTGCTGGGTGCGGGCATTTGGGAGCTACCTGGATGTGAGGAGTAGGAAATTCACATGACACAGGTAAGAAATGTCTGTTCTACCTCAAACTCCATGTGAAACGTAGAGCCTTAGTCCCGGCTGGTGAAGAGCACTCAAAAGGCTCTGGCAGGTGCTGGGAACAATGACTGAGCAAATCCTGAGCAGTACTCTACTGGTTCTAGAACATGTCTCCCTTATGCTCACATTTTGACCACCCAGCCCGGTCTGGCCACACCACTGAGATGATAGTGGAGATGGAGGATAGAAGGCTAAAGAGGTGAGGTCCAGTGGAAAGAGCACCAGGGTGTGTCTGGCTGTAGTCATTACCTACACACAAAGCTAAGTTAGTGCCACCAAAGTACTGACCTGGGACATCCAGATGGAAGGTGACCTTCTGGCCCCCGGCCTCGCAGCTGTACTCCCCGCTGTCCCCCTTGGCCGCCTGCTGCAGCACCAGCCGCCGGGTGCAGCCCGTGGCCTCCACACGCACTTTTGAGCTCCCACTCAGCTTCTTGCCATCCTTGTACCACGTCACCTCTGTCTGGGCCTGGGCCACCTCGCAGCTCAGCGTGGCACTGGCCCCAGCCATGGCCTTCACCTCGCTGTGTGCAGACTGCTCCTTGGCAAACACCTCCTTGGGCTCTGCGAACAGAGAGGCACACACGGGGTCAAAGACATCTTCTAAATCAGAAGGACACCACTCTGGAAGCAAGGACTAAGCAGGAGGCAGCAGGACAGGGAAATCCTCAAGGCTCTGTGTGGCCTGCAGAAGCCCCAGCACCTTCTCAGCACAAGTAGCTCATTCATCTGCACATTGACCACTGCCCAGGGGGCGGTCCCTGCTGGGGACACTAGATGGACTTCTCCGGAGCACACACCCTCTAGCAGAGGGACTTCAGGCCAGGAGGGATGCACACACCCTCCCAGGTTACCAAGTCTTTCACGATGTGCAGGGAGCATTCCCACCGAGCCAGGGACAGGTCCTGGGCTCCACCTCCCACCTGCCTTCCATGTGTCATCTGTTGGCCTCCTAGGGGACTGAGCTGTGCCTCCTGAGCCTGTCTCTTCCATGGTTTGTATTGATAAGGCTGAAAAGGGCTAATTCTGTCCTATCAGGTTTGGCTCAGTGGATAGAGCATCAGCCTGTGGACTGCAAGGTTTCCAGTTCTACTCTGGTCAAGGGCATGTACCTGGGTTGTGGGCACATCCCCAATAGGAGTTGTGCAAGAGGCTGCTGATGGGTGTTTCTCTCTCTTCGATGTTTCTCTCTCTTTCCTTTCCTCTCTGTAAAAAAAAAAAATCATTAAAATAAAAATAAAAGGGCTAATTCCAATGTAACCTTGATATTTGAGGGCTAGTGATCTGAATCCATGCTAGCAAGCTCAGTGTACATTTACGATAATCTATAATTAAGTCACTACCTTCTTTCCATATAGGATTCTTGAAGAACCTGCTATTGTGAACAGTGCACTGCCCCAGAGGGAGGGTTATTAATGCTGGTGCCAGGCCAGACCATCAGATATGGCCTGGAGATGCCCAACACCTGGGGGCCTTTTTGCAAGGCCCACAAAGAGGACCAGAAGCATAATCCATATTTGCAGGACAAAGACTACAGGGAGAGATAAAAAGAAGCCCCGTGCATGTTTCTGCACTCAGATTTGGAAGGCTGTTCCCCGAGTCTGCTGGTGTATTAAACAGTGTCCCTGGTCTTCTTTATAACATCAGTTGGTTTTTCTTTAGTTTTCTGCAACAGGGTGATTCAGAGTGGTGCACCTTGGCTATGTTTTCTGTCTTTACTGTTTGCTCATCTATGGTGTGTCTGTTCATGGGGATTTTGGACACCCTATTTCTCCCCACCCCCAGCAAGTCCAATAATTTACCTTTTGTATAAATCATAATATCTGAATATCACATGTTTTTCACACTTTTTTTAAAATTTTACTTCCTGCTTTCCGGCTGACAAAACTGGTTACTGTGAGGCCCCTTTCCTTGTCCCTGACCTCACAAGAAAAGCTTTCTGCTGTCACTTAGTGTGATTAGCTGGTTGTTCTTCAGTATCATTTATCAGAGAGAGGAAGATATGTTTTCTTTATAATTGGTTAAGAATCTATGTCATGAATCGATATTGATAAACACGTCTTCCAGATTTTTGACATTAAATGTTACCAAAACTCAACTCTGCATTTATGAGGCTATCTCTTCATATTTTAGTTTCAATCTTCTCACACCGTGATTGAGGTTGATTTGTGGACTTTTTAAAAAATACATTTTATTGATTTTTTATAGAGAGGAAGAGAGAGGGATAGAGAATTAGAAACATCGATGAGAGAGAATCATCGATCAGCTGCCTCTTGCACACCCCTTTTTGGGGATGTGCCTGCAACCAAGGTACATGCCCTTGACCGGAATTGAACCCAGGACCCTTCAGTCCTCAGACTGACGCTCTATCCACTGAGCCAAACTGGTTTCGGCTTGTGGACCTTTTTAGTGCTCACAGAGCTGGGCCATGACATTCATTATAGTGCATCATCCTCTTAATACATTGCCAATTCATTATTAAGCTAAGTTAGTGCCACCTAGCTTCGGATGTTGGCCTTGGTCTTCACAATGAATTGGTCCTTAATTTGAACTGTCTCTATCAGAATTTGTTGATAGATGTCATGCCTGTGCCACGTAATAAACCAGAGACTGTAACTCCTTCTCAATCTCTAGAAGGATCTACAGTAGTGGTTTTCAACCTATCTAATGCTACAACTCTTAATACAGTTCCTCATTCTGTGGTGACTCCCAACCATAAAATAATTTTCATTGCTACCTCCTATCTGTAATTTTGCTTCTGTTATTAATCATAATGTTAATATCTGTGTTTTCTGATGGTCTTAGACGACCCTGCTAGCAGTTTTCAACCTGTAGGTCATGACACAGGACACAAAAAGAAACCAAGATGTACTCTAGGAAGAGAATTCCAGACCTCACAGGTGTAGGTCCCCGGTACATACCTGCCAATACTCTGCTCCTTCTTTACTTAGGGCACAAACCGTGAAAGAAATCATGGATATAAATTTTGTGAAAAAGTGAGGATCCAGTAATGTCTACTTCCACATGCAAGGGCGTGCCCTAAAAAGCTGTAATTTGTCTACACATGGTTCAGTCTAGAGATGGATCCAAGTAAGACTGGGTGGCAGGAACTTCCCCATACTCTGTTGTAAGGAAATTCAAACATGTCTCTGCCCGTGTTTCTGGGTGCGGGCATCTGAGAGCTAGCAGGACGTGGGGAGTAGGAAGTTCACATGACACAGGTAAGAGACGTCTGGTCTACCTCAGTCTCCATGTGACAGGTAGAGCCCGAGTCCCGGCTGGTGAGGAGCACCCAGAAGGCTCTGGAGGGTGCTGGGAACCATGACTGAGCAAAACCTGAGCACCACTCCGCGTGTACAGGATCACCTCTCCCTTCTGCTCACACTCTGACCACCCAGCCTGGTCTGGCCCCACCACTGGGATGATATGGGAGATGGAGGATAGAAGGCTGAAGAGGTGAGGTCCAGTGGAAAGAGAGACAGGGTGTGCCGGCTGTAGTCATTACCTACACACAAAGCTCAGTTAGTGCCACCAAAGAACTGACCTGGGACATCCAGATGGAAGGTGACCTTCTGGCCCCCGGCCTCGCAGCTGTACTCCCCGCTGTCCCCCTTGGCCGCCTGCTGCAGCACCAGCCGCCGGGTGCAGCCCGTGGCCTCCACACGCACTTTTGAGCTCCCACTCAGCTTCTTGCCATCCTTGTACCACGTCACCTCCGTCTGGGCCTGGGCCACCTCGCAGCTCAGCGTGGCACTGGCCCCGGCCATGGTCTTCACCTCGCTGTGTGCAGACTGCTCCTTGGCAAACACCACCTTGGGCTCTGTGGACAGAAAGGGACACATAGGGTCAAAGATATTTTCTAAATCAGGAGGACAGTACTGGGGACGCAAGGACTGAGCGGGGAGTTGGCAGGATGGGAAAATCCTCAAGGCTTTGTGTGACCTGCAGAAGCCCCAGCACCTTCTCAGCACAAGTAGCTCATTCATCTGCACATTGACCTCTACCCAGGGGATGGTCTCTACTGGCGACACCGTGAAGGACTTCTTTCGACCACACACCATCTAGCAGAGGGACTTCAGACCATTAGGTGTATACAACTCCTCAAGTGATCAAGTCTTTCCCGGATGTGCAGGGAGCATTCCCACCCAGCCAGGGACAAGTCCTGGGCTCCACCTCCCACCTGCCTTTTGTGTGTCACTTGCTGGCCTCCTAGGGGACTGAGCTGTGCCTTCTGAGCCTGTCTCTTCCATGCTGTGGATGACTCACAAAGTCATAGCCTTGGCTATGTTTATGGGCTGTACTCTTTGCTTTTCTGTGGTGTGTCTGTTATTGGGATTGGGGGCTCCATACAACTTCTCCCCACTCCCACTAAGTCTAATGATGTATCTTTTGGGTACATCATATTATCTGAATTTCACTTCAGTTTTTCACACTTTTATACATTTTACTTTATTTCCTGCTAACAAAATTGGTGACTGTGAGCCCCCTTGCCTCTTCTTGCTCTCAGAAGCAAAGCTTTCAAGTGTCACTTATTGTCATTAGCTGGTTTTCCTTCAGGATTATTTATCAGAAGAAGGATGAACCATTTTATTTATAACTACAGTCCTAGTGCACAAAATTTGTGCACGAGTATGGCTGCTAGCCCTGGCCAGCGATCTGGGCCTCCAGGGCCTTCTGGCTACAGGTCTGGGCCTTCCTTTGTTCTGTACTACCCACTAGTTGTCAGCATATGTCACAGTGAGTGATCGAACAACCAGTCTCTCAAATTCCAGAGGGAACACTTAGCATATTAGCCAGATAAATAGATAGATAGATAGATTGTTTAAGAGTCTATTGTATGGAGACTTAAGAGGAGAATCCAAGATGGCTGCACAGGTAAACACCTAACCGCAGCTGGACACAATCTCAATAAAATACAACTAAAATATAAAATGGACATTACCCACAACTATAGGAAAGTCGACTGACTGGAAATTCCACAACGAGAAGGAAAGAGAAAACCAGAAGGAAAATCAGAGGAACTGTAAAAGTCTAAGGTACGGAGACACGCTACGGGCATGCAGAGGACGGAGCCGGAGAGGAGGGGGAGGCTGAGTGCCTGGCTGGCGTTCCCTAGTGGGAAGGAGATAAAAGCTCCAGACTGTGCTGAACACAGTTCCAACTGCTCCGAACCCCAGTTCTAGGCCAGACCCTGGGGGCCCAGGCTCAAACAGAGGTAGACTGGGCTGTGAGGCAGAATCTCAGAGGAGCAGAGAAAGGAGGTCTGGAGGCGCACACATTGCGTGCAGAGAACGGACGGTTGGCTGTGCAGCGGGATTGCCCTGGCGGGAAGAAGACAAGCTCCAGACTGCTGTGACTCACACTTCCAACCCCATTTCCAACTGAACTGAATCCCGTTCCGGGCTCATTGGGGGAGAGCCTAGACTGTTTGGTAGCAGGCGAAATTTCGAGGGCACCTTTCTCTCAGAGGTGCTTGCAACAAGTACTGGAGGACCCTGAGGAATACTGAGACTCAGGAGCCTCATAGGGCGTGGTTGACGGAAGCCAAGGCTGTAGGCTCCACCCTGAAACTCAGCCCCATCCAAGCTGAACACAGAGACTTTTAAAGCTACCAACTCAGGGAAATTGCGAAAATGCCAAGACAAGGAAATAGATCACAAACGAAAGAAATGGAAGACAAAAAGCGACTGGATATAGAGTTCAAAACCACGCTTATAAGATTTTTCAAGAATTTCCTAGAAAAGGTCGATAAGACCTATGAGGATATGAAAAGGGATCAACTAGAAATAATAAGGAATCAACAAGAAATAACAAGGGAACAACAAGAAATAAAGAATACATTGTCTGAAATAAAAAATATTATACAGAGTCCTAAAAAACAGAATGGAAGATCACAAGAATCAAGTCAAAGTTTTGAAACATAAAGAGCCAGAAGACACTCCTCTGCAGAAGCAAGAAGGCAAGAGAATCCAGAAAGTTGAAGATAATGTAAGAAACCTCTGGGACAACTTCAAGCGAACCAACATCAGAATTATGGGGGTCCCAGAAGATGAGAGAGAGCAAGATATCAAAAACATACTGAAAGAAGTAGTGACAGAAAACTTCCCTCACCTGGTGAAAGAATTAGACTTACAAGTCCAGGAAGCGCACAAAACTCCAAACACAAGGAATCCAAAGAAGACCACACCAAGACAAATCATAATTAAAATTCCAAGAGCAAAAGACAAAGAGAGAATATTAAAAGCAGCAAGAGCCAAGCAGGTAGTTACCTATAAAGGAACACCTATATGATTGTCAGCTGATTTCTCAGCAGAAACCATGCAGGCCAGACGGGAATGGCAAGAAATATTCAAAGTGATGAATAGTAAGAACCTACAGCCAAAAATAATCTACCCAGGAAAGCTATCACTCAGAATCAAAGGCCAGATAAAGAGCTTCACTAATAAAAAATAGCTAAAGGAATTCATCACCACCAAACTAGAATTATATGAATTGCTGAAGGGGGTTCTTTCAGAAGAGAAAGTAAATAAAGATAAAAACTATGAACGACAAATACGCAACTATCAACAAGTGAATCTAAAAACTAAGGAAATTAAAAAAAAATCTGATGAACAATATTAATTGTTGAATATAATAGAATCAGAGGTATGGAAGGGTAGTGAACTGATGATTCTTGGGGGAAAGAGGAGAAGGGGGTGTGGGAAGAGACTGAACATAAACTGTGCACCTATGAATGAGGACAATGGGTGGTGGGGAAAGGGCAGAAGGTGGGGTGGGAACCTGGTGGAGGACAGCAATGGAGGGGGGGGGAGAGGACCATTTGTAATAATATGAACACTAAAGATTTATTAAAAAAATAAAATAAAATAAAATTAGACTTAAGAGCACATAAAAAAAGAGTCTATTGTATGAATAGATATTGATAAACATTTCTTCTAGATTTCTGATGTTAAATGTTATGAAAACTCAACTTTGCACCAATGAGATGATTGCTTCATATTTTAGTTTCAATCTGCTCACGTCATGAGTGAGGTTCATTTGCTGACCTTTGTGGTGCTCACACAGTGGGGCCATGACTTTCTTTATACTGCATAGTCCTCTTAATACATTGCCCATTCATTTGGATACTACTTAGCTTCAGATGTTGGCCTTGGCCTCCACAATGGCTTGGCCCATTATTTGAACTCTCCCTATCAGATGTCATGAGGGTGCCATGTAGTAAGCCAGAGGCTGTATGTCCTTCTATAGCTCTAGAAGCATCTCCATGAACATGCAATAATGTCCTTACAGATAATTTTCCTGTGGAGTCACTGCAGTGTCATCTTCACCCAGAAGATCTTCTATTTATTGTGGTTCCATTTATTGCAACACTTGTAGGACTATTTTAGCTGTCAAAATCTTTTGCCACATTTCATGGAGTTCTAATAACTTGGTCAATTTAATAAAACTTTTCATGTTTACTCCTATAAAAATAATTTGTCATATTCTCCTAAATTAACAATTAAAAATGTACACTGGATTTTTTTTTATCTATACACAGTCACAAGCTATTGTATATAGATATAACACCAAACTGTTATGTAGAGGCACCTGGAAATAGATTTGTGATTAAAACTCTCCTAATAAAATGAAAAATCAGTTAGTGCACAGATATGTCTGTGAACAAACCAGAGAGGATAAATACACATGAGTTGTTAGAAAATACTACGGCATAAATACTGACAAAACATTCAAGGGCTATCGCTAGGGTTACTTGTCTTCAACAAGGTGTGCAGTGTGGGAGAAGCTCCTTATTCCTCTCCATGTCTAAATCTGTACATCAGACTCACAGACAATTCTGACACAGGACACAAAAGGAAACTAATATGTACTTTAGGAAATGAATTCCAGACCTCACAGGTGCAGGTCCCCAACACACATCTGTTAATTCTATCTCCCTTTTTTACTTTTTGCACAGAACATGCAAGAAAACATGGATCTAGATTTTGTGACAAGGATCCAGTAACTTCTATATCCACAGGCAAAGGAGTGTCCTAAAAAACCTATAATCTGTGAACACACTGTTCAGTCTTGAGAAGAATCCAAGTAAGTTTGGGTAGCAGAGACTTCCCCATATTTGGTTTTAATGAAATTCAAAAATGCCTCTGCCCACGTTGTTGGGTATAGTCATCTGGGAACTACCAGAATATGGGGAGTAAGAAATTCACATGACACAGGTAAGAGACGTCTGGTATACCTCAGACTCCATGTGAAAAGTAGAGCCTGAGATGGCTGGTGAGGAGCACCCAGAAGGCTCTGGCAGGTGCTGGGAACCATGACTGAGCAAAACCTGAGAACAACTGCGCTTGTACAGGATCACCGGTCCCTTCTGCTCACACTCTGTCCACCCCGCCTGGTCTGCCCCACCACTGGGATGATATGGGAGATGGAGGATAGAAGGCTAAAGAGGTGAGGTCTGCTGGAAAGAGAGACAGGGTGTGTCTGGCTGTAGTCATTACCTCCACACAAAGCTAAGTTAGTGCCACCAAAGAACTGACCTGGGACATCCAGATGGAAGGTGACTTTCTGGCCCCCGGCCTCGCAGCTGTACTCCCCGCTGTCCCCCTTGGCCGCCTGCTGCAGCACCAGCCGCCGGGTGCAGCCCGTGGCCTCCACACGCACTTTTGAGCTCCCACTCAGCTTCTTGCCATCCTTGTACCACGTCACCTCCGTCTGGGCCTGGGCCACCTCGCAGCTCAGCGTGGTACTGGCCCCGGCCATGGCCTTCACCTCGCTGTGTGCAGACTGCTCCTTGGCAAACACTACCGTGGGCTCTGTGGACAGGGAGGCACACACAGGGTCAAAGACATTTTCTAAATCAGAAGGACAGCATTCTAGATGCAAGGACTAAGCAAGGAGGTGGCAGGACAGGAAAACCCTCAAGGCTCTGTGTGGCCTGCAGAAGCCCCAGCACCTTCTCAGCACAAGTAGCTCATCCATCTGCACATTGACCACTGCCCAGAGGACGCTCTATGCTGGGGACACCGTGAAGAACTTCTCTTGACCACACACCCTCTAGCAGAGGGACTTCAGGCCATGAGGGGTGCACACACCCTCCCCACGTGACCAAGTCTTTCCTGGATGTGCAGGGAGCATTTGCACCCAGCCAGGGACAGGTCCTGGACTCCACCTCCCAACTGCCTTCCTAGGAGACTGAGCTGTGCCTCCTGAGCCTATCTCTTCCATGGTTTGTATTGATAAGGCTAAAAAGGGCTAATTCCACCCTAACAAGTTTGGCTCAGTGAATAGAGCATCAGCCTGCTGACTGAAAGGTTCCCGGCTCGATTCCAGTCAAGGGCATGTACCTGGGTTGTGGCCACATCCCTAATAGGAGTTGTGCAAGAGGCAGCTGATGGGTGTTTCTCTCTCATCAATGTTTCTAGCTCTCCATTCCTCTCTAAAAAAAAAATCAATAAAATTAAAATAAAAGAGATAACTCCAATGTTACCCTGATATTTGGGGACTAGTGATCTGAATCCATGCCAGCATGCTCCGTGCACATACTTGATAACCTATAATTAAGTCACTACCTCCTTTCCAGATAGGATTGTTGAAGATCCTGCTATTGTGAACAGTGTGCTGCCCCAGAGGGAGGGTTATTAATGCTGGTGCCAGGCCAGACCATCAGATATGGGGCATTCTTACAAGTCCCACAAAAAGGACCAGAAGCATAATCCATATTTGCAGGACAAAGACCACAGGGAGAGATAAAAAGAAGCCTCGTGCATGTTTCTGCACTCAGATTTGGAAGGCTGTTCCCCGAGGCTGCTGGTGTATTAAACAGTGTCCCTGGTCTTCTTTATAACATTACTTGATTTTTCTTTAGTTTTCTGCAACAGGGTGATTCAGAGTGGTGCACCTAGGCTATGTTTTCTGTCTTTACTGTTTGCTCATCTATGGTGTGTCTGTTCATGGGGATTTTGGACACCCTATTTCTCCCCACCCCTAGCAAGTCCAATAATTTACCTTTTGTATAAATCATATTACCTGAATCTCACTTCAGTTTTTCACACTTTTACATGTTTTTTTGTTTTTTGTTTTTTTTTCCTGCTTTCCGGCTGACAAAACTGGTTTCTGTGAGGCCCCTTTCCTTGTCCCTGATCTCACAAGCAAAGTTTTCTGCTGTCACTTAGTGTGATTAGCTGATTGTTCTTCAGTATCATTTATCAGAAAGAGGAAGATATGTTTTCTTTGTAATTGGTTAAGAATCTATGGTATGTATAGATATTGGTAAACAAATCTCCTAGATTTCTGATATTAAATGTTATCAGAACTCAAATCTGCACCGAGAGATGATCGCTCCATATTTTGGTTTCAATCTTCTCACATCATGAGTGATGTTGATTTGCTGACTTCTGTGGAACTCACACAGCTGAGCATGACTTTTATATAGTGCATAATCTTCTTAATACATTGCTGATCCATTTTGATACTACTGAGCTTCAGATGTTGGCCTTGGCCTCCACAATGGATTGGCCCTTAATTTGAACTCTCCGTGTCAATCAGATGTTGGTGATAAATGTCATGCTGGTGCCACGTATTAAAAGCCAGGGACTCTATGTCCTTCTCTAGCTGTAGAAGGATCTCCATGAACATGCAACAATTTCCTTACAGAATAGTTCATATAATTTTCCAGTGGAGCCAGTGGGGTGTCATCTTGACCTATAAGAACTTTTAAGCTGGTTCCATTTACTGAAAAGAATTCTAGGACTATTTTAGCTGTCAAAATCTTATAACACTTTCATATAGTTTTGTAATAATTTGGTCAATTTCTCAAAACTTTTCATAAATTATTCCTACAAAATCATTTGTCATATTCTCCTAAAGTAACAATTAAAAATGTATAGTGGAATTTTTTTGTATGTATACACAGCCACAGGTTATTTTACACAGATATAACACTACACTATTATAAAGAGGCACCTGGAAATTGATTTGAGGTTAAAACTCTTCCAACAAAATGAAAACACAGTTAGTTCACAGACATCTCTGTGAACAAAGCAGACAGGGACGAATACACATGAGTCGTTAGGAAACACTATGGCATAAATACTGACAAAACAGTCAGGGGCTATCGCTATAGTTCTTTGTCTTCAACAAGCCACGCAGAGTGGGAGAAGCTCTTTATTCCCCTCCATCATACTCCCAGGGGATTCTGACACAGGAAACAAAAGGAAACCATGATGTACTTTAGGAAGATATTGCAGACCTCAAGGGTGCAGGTCCATGGCACACACCTGACAATCCTCTGGTCTCTGCTTACTTTTTGCACAATACTTGGAAGAAATCATGGATCTAGATTTTGAGACAAGTGAGGATCCAGTAACTTCTACATCCAAACGCAAGGGAGTGCCCTAAAAAGCTACAATTTGCTGACATCCGGCTCAGTCTTGAGATGGATGCAAGTAAGACTGGGTGGCAGGAACTTCCCCATATTCTGTTGTAAGGAAATTCAAACTTATCTCTGCCCATGTTGCTGGGTGCAGGCATCTGAGAGCTACCAGGACATGGGGAGTAGGAAATTCACACAACACAAGTAAGAGACGTCTGGTCTACCTCATTCTCCATGTGACAGGTAGAGCCTGAGTCCCAGCTGGTGGGGAGCACCCAGAAGGCTCTGGCAGGTGCTGGGAACCATGACTGAGCAAAACCTGAGCACCACTCCGCGTGTACAGGATCACCTCTCCCTTCTGCTCACACTCTGCCCACCCAGCCTGGGCTGGCCCAACCACTGGGATGATATGGGAGATGGAAGATAGAAGGAAAGGGCGTCAGAATGTACCCTGGTGTAGTCATTACCTATACACAAAGCTCAGTTAGTGCCACCAAAGAACTGACCTGGGACATCCAGATGGAAGGTGACCTTCTGGCCCCCGGCCTCGCAGCTGTACTCCCCGCTGTCCCCCTTGGCCGCCTGCTGCAGCACCAGCCGCCGGGTGCAGCCCGTGGCCTCCACATGCACTTTTGAGCTCCCACTCAGCTTCTTGCCATCCTTGTACCACGTCACCTCTGTCTGGGCCTGGGCCACCTCGCAGCTCAGCGTGGCACTGGCCCCAGCCATGGCCTTCACCTCGCTGTGTGCAGACTGCTCCTTGGCAAACACCACCTTGGGATCTGTGGACAGGGAGGCACACGCAGGGTCAAATATATTTTCTAAATCAGGAGGACAGCACTCTGGATGCAAGGACTGAGTGGGGAGGTTGCAGGAAGGAAAAATCCTCAAGGCTCTGTGTGACCTGCAGAAGCCCCAGCACCTTCTCAGCGCAAGTAGCTTATTCATTTGCACATTGACCCCTCTCCAGGGGGCGGTCCATCATGGGGACAAGTGATGGACTTCTCTTGACCACACACCCTCTAGCAGAGGGACTTCAGGCCATGAGGGGTGCACACACCCTCCCCAGGTGACCAAGTCTTTCCTGGATGTGCAGGGAGCATTCCCTCTCAGCCAGGGACAGGTCCTGGGCTCCACCTCCCACCTGCCTTCCGTGTATCACCTGCTGGCCTCCTAGGGGACTGAGCTGTGCCTCCTGAGCCTGTCTCTTCCATGGTGTGGATGACTCACAAAGTGTTGGGCCTTGGCTATGTTTTCGGTCTTTACTGTTTGTTCTTCTGTGGTGTGTCAGTTCATGGGTGTTTGGGGCACCATAATACTTCTCCCCACTCCCACCAAGTCTAACAATGTATCCTTTGCATAAATCAAACTGAATTTCACATCATTTTTTCACACTTGTATATGTTTTACTTTATTTCCTGCTGACAAAAGTGGTGACTGTGAGCCCCCTTGCCTGGTCCCTGCTCTCAGAGAAAGCCTTCAAGTGTCATTTAGTGTGGTTAGCTGATTGTTCTTTAGTTCATTTATCAGAAGAAGGATGAACTGTTTTCTTTATAATTGGTTAAGAAGCCAATGGGTGAAGAGAAACTGATAAACATGTCTTTATATTTCTGACATTAAATGTTATCAAAATTCAGCTCTGCACTGATGAGGTGATCGCTTCAAATTTTAGTTTCAATCTGCTCATGTCATGTCATCATGAATGAAGTTGATTTGCTGACCTTTGTAATGCACACACAGCTGGGTCATGACTTTCTTTTTACTGCATCATCCCCTTAATACATTGCTCATTCATTTTGATACTACCTAGATTTAGATTTGAGCCTTGGTCTCCACAATAGTTTGGCCCTTATTTTGAACTCTCCCTATCAGATGTTGGTGATAGATGTCATGCTGGCACAAACGGTATGTCCTTCTCTAGCTCTGGAACAGTGGTTCTCAACTTTTCTAATGCCACTACCATTTAAAATAGCTCCTCATGTTGTGGTTACCTCCAACCATTATATTATTTTCGTTGCTACTTCCTATCTGTAATTTTTCTACTGTTAATGAATTATAATGGAAATATCTGTGTTTTCCGATGGTCTTATGCAACCCTGCTAGCGGTTCTCAACCTGTGGGTCGTGAGATCCTTCTAGGGTCTAGAAGGATCTCTATGAGCATGCAATAATTTTCTTACCAAATAGTTCATATAATTTTCCAGTGGAGCCATCGGGGTGTCATTTTCACCTATAAGAACTTTTTTTATTGTTGGCCCATTTATTTAAAAGGTTGTAGGACTATTTTAGCTATTAAAATCTTTTGTCACTTTTCATGTATTTTTCCAATAATTTGGTCAATTTCTCAAAACTTTTCATATTTGCCCCTACAAAATAATTTGTCATATTCTCCTAAAGTAACAATTTAAAAAGTTTGGTTGGTGGATTTTTTGTGTGTCTATACACACCCACAAGTTATTTTACACAGAGAGAACACCAAACTGTTATGTAGAGGCACCTGAAAGTTGATTTGAGGTTAATTAAATGCTCCAATCAAAAGACATAGGGTAACAGATTGGATAAGAAAACAAGACCCATACATCTGTTGTCTACAAGAAACCCACCTCAGAAAAAAAGACGCACACAGACTGAGGGTGAAGGGATGGAAAAAGGTTTTCCAGGCAAATGGAAATGAAAAAAAAAACTAGAGTAGCAATACTTATATCTGACAAATTAGATCTCAGAGTGAAGGACATAACAAGAGATAATGAAGGCCACTTCATAATATTTAAGGGAGCAATTCAACAAGAAGAAATAACCCTGATTTGAGGTTAAAACTCTCCTAACAAAATGAAAACACATTTTGTCCACAGACATCTCTATGAACAAACCAGAGACAAATACACATGCATTGTTAGGAAACACTATGACATAAATACTGACTCAACAGTCAATGCCTATCACTATAGTTACTTGTCTTCAACAAGGTGTACAGTGTGGGAGAAGCTCCTTATTCCCCTCCATGTCTAAATCTATACATCAGACTCCCAGGGGATTCTGACACAGGACACAAAAGGAAACCAAGATGTACTTTAGGAAGATATTCAAGGCCTGAGAGGTGCAGGTCCCCGGCACACACCTGACAATGCTCTGCTCTTCCTTTACTTTTTGCCCAGACCTTGCAAGAACACACAGATCTAGATTTTTGGGACAAGTGATGATGCAGTAACTTCTACATCCATACCTAAGGGTGTGCCCTAAAAAGCTAAAATTTGTCAACCCACAACAGTTCAGTCTTGAGATGGATCAAGTAAGATTCGGTGGCAGAGACATCCCCATATTCTCTTGTAAGGAAATTCAAACGTGTCTCTGCCCATGTTGCTGGGTGCAGGCACCTGGAAGCTACCAGGACTTGGGGAGTAGGAAATTCACATGACACAGGTAAGAGACGTCTGGTCTACCTAAGACTCCTTATGACAGGTAGAGCCCAAGTCCCGGCTGGTGAGAAGCACCCAGAAGGCTCTGGCAGGTGCTGGGAACCATGACTGAGCAAAACCTGAGAACAACTGCACTTGTACAGGATCACCGCTCCCTTCTGCTCACACTCTGCCCACCCAGCCTGGTCTGGCCCCACCAGTGGGATGATATGGGAGACGGAGGATAGAAAGCTGAAGAGGTGAGGTCCACTGGAAAGAAAGACAGAGTGCGCCCGGCTGTAGTCATTACCTACACACAAAGCTAAGTTAGTGCCACCAAAGAACTGACCTGGGACATCCAGATGGAAGGTGACCTTCTGGCCCCCGGCCTCGCAGCTGTACTCCCCGCTGTCCCCCTTGGCCGCCTGCTGCAGCACCAGCCGCCGGGTGCAGCCCGTGGCCTCCACACGCACTTTTGAGCTCCCACTCAGCTTCTTGCCGTCCTTGTACCACGTCACCTCCGTCTGGGCCTGGGCCACCGCGCAGCTCAGCGTGGCACTGGCCCCGGCCATGGCCTTCACCTCGCTGTGTGCAGACTGCTCCTTGGCAAACACCACCGTGGGCTCTGGGAACAGGGAGGGACACACAGGGTCAGAGACACAAAACTTGTAGAAGTCTATCTCATCTTCACCGTAGTTTCAGAGATGAGTAAAATTTCTCCTTGCAGCTATGTGCCTGTTTGGGTATTAGTCCCTGGTGGAGTCAGCATATTATTTATAAACATATGTCTCCTATAATGGAATTTCAAGTGTGCATTGCAAGGCTATTATGCCACTTGTCAGTGCCAGTTCATTGTCTTTCCATATGATAGTCAATTCTTGTGTGCAGGTGGCAATGGTCACTCCTTTATTTTTTAATATGTTTTCATTGATTTCAGAGAGGAGAAGGAGAGAGATCCAGAAATATCAATGATGAGAGACGATCATTGATTAGCTGGCTTTTGCTGCCAATATTGGGACTCAAGCCCACAATTCCATTCCTTAGGGAAATCAAATGGTGATCTAATTCATGGGGCAACACTCAATCACTGATTCTCACCGGTCGGGCAGGTTGGTAACTCTTTTACCACCAGAGCCTGGCTCATGGCATGTCATCCACAAACTAAGCTACACCTTTCTGTGTCTAACTCACATGTCAAGTACACTAATTTATTTGCACAGCTCAATGAAGTTCAGACTTAGCTTTCCCCATGTACCCAAACATCAACCAACAGAACATTTCCAGCTGTTCATCCACTGATGACCAAACTCTTTATTGCTGTAAGTATTACATGTCCCCATTTCCCCCCCCACACACACACACACCAACCCCCTCTAAAAACCCCCTGCCCTCATCCCACACCTTCACCACCCGGGCTATATTCTGTCTGTGTCCATGGCCATGCATATATGCATAGCAAGTCCTTGGTTTATTACCACTCTCCCCCCCACCCTCTCCTGTCCAGATTCCCCACTCTGTTAAATGCTTCCACTTCTCTGGATACACTCCATTAATCAGTTTATCTTAATTAGACTCCACATATGAATAATATCATGTGATACATCTCTTTCTCTGACTGACTTATTTCACTTAGCATGATACTCTCCTGGTTCCTCCTTGCTGTCTCAAAGAGTAAGAAATTCTTCTTTTTTAAAATATATTTTATTGATTTTTTTACAGAGAGAAAGGGAGAGGGACAGAGATCTAGAAACATCTATCAGCTGCCACCTGCACACCCCCTACTGGTTGCCTTTGACCGGTATTGAACCCGGGACCTCTCAGGACCTCTATCCACTGAGCCAAACCAGTCAGGGCGAGATTCTTTCTTTTACTGCTGCATAGTACTCCCTGGTATAAATATACCACAGCTTTTTTTTTTTTTTTTTTTTTTAACCAATCATCTACTGATGGGCACTTGTGTTTATAGATCTTAGCTATTGTAAATTGTACGTTATAATCATTCTTTCTGTTGGGTGTTTTGGGTTTCTTAGGATATATAAATGTGGGGTCACTGGGTCAAATGGCAGTTTCATATTTAAATTTTTAAGGAGCTGTTTTCCATAACAGTTACATCAGTCTGCATTCCCAACAGCAGTGTACTAGGGTTCCCTTTTCCCCACATCTTCCCCAGCACTTGTCATTTATTGATTTGTTGATTGTAGCAGTTCTGATAGGTGTGAGGTGATACTTCATTGTCATTTTAATTTATTATACATCTATCTGATGATCAGTGACTGAGCATTTTCCCCACAAGTCTCTCAGCCTTATGTATGTCCACTCTGGAGAAGTGTCTATTTAGGTCCTCTGCCCATTTTTCAATTGGATAGTTTGCCTTCCTTATATAATTTGGATATTAACCCTTTATCAGATGTATCATTGCCAAATATGTTCTTCCATACAGTGGGCTCCCTTTTCATTTTGTTGATGGTTTCTTTTACTGTGAAAGAAATTTTATTTTTTTAATAAATCTTTATTGTTCAGATTAATACAAATGTGTTCCTCTTCCCCTCCTCCCCCCAATTGCTCCCCTCCACCAGGTTCCCACCCCACCCTCTGTCCTTTCCCCATCCCCCATTGTCTCCATCCATAGGTGCACAGTTTTTGTTCAGTCTCTTCCCGCACCCCCTCTCCCCTTTTCTCCGAGAATCTTCAGTCCACTCCCCTTCCATACCTCTGATTCTATTATATTCAACAGTTAATATTGTTCATCAGATTTTTTAATTTCCTTGTTTTTTAGATTCACTTGTTGATAGTAACGTATTTGTTGTTCATAATTTTTATCTTTATCTTCTTCCTCTTCCTAAATAACCCCCTTCAGCAATTCATATAATTCTGGTTTGGCGGTGATGAACTCCTTTAGCTTTTTTTTATTTGTGAAGCTCTTTATCTGGCCTTCGATTCTGAGTGATAGCTTTGCTGGGTAGAGTATTTTTAGCTGAAGGTTCTTGCTATTCATCACCTTGAATGTTTCTTATCATTCCTGTCTGGCCTGCATGGTTTCTGTTGAGAAATCAGCTGATAATCGTATGGGTGCTCCTTTATAGGTAACTACCTGCTTTTCTCTTACTGCTTTTAATATTCTCTCTTTGTCTTTTGCTCTTGGAATTTTAATTATGATGTGTCTTGCCGAAACCGGTTTGGTTCAGTGGTAGAGCGTCAGTCTGCGGACTGAAAGGTCCCAGGTTTGATTCCAGTCAAGGGCATGTACGTTGGTTGCGAGCACATCCCTGGTGGGGGGTGTGCAAGAGGCAGCTGATCAATGTTTCTCTCTCATCGACATTTCTAGCTCTCTATCTCTCTCCCTTCCTCTCTGTAAAAAAAAAAAAAAAAAAAAAAAAAAAAAAAAAAAAAAAAAAATCAATAAAAAATATATATATACCTGTATAAGACGACTTTTGAAACGAAAAAAAGTCAACCGAAAATCGGGGGCAAAAGACCAAAATTGCACAAAAATTATCTGCAGATCTTGACGGCAAAGTAAGTCTTTTCTTTGAAGTGGGGGGTAGTCTTATACAGCGAATATAGGCATAAACCTATGTTTTAACTGTAAAATTAGGGGGTCATCTTATACGCCGGAAAATACTGTGTCTGTGTGTGGGTGTGTGTGTTAATTATGATGTGTCTTGGTGTGGTCCTCCTTGGATTCCTTTTGTTTGGGGTTCTGCGGGCTTCCTGGACTTGTAAGTCTATTTCTTTCCCCAGGTGGGGGAAGTTTTCTGTCACTACTTTTTCCAGTATTCTTTCAGTATCCTGCTCTCTCTCTTCTTCTGGGATCCCCATAATTCTGATGTTGGTTCGCTTGAAATTGTCCCAGAGGTTTCTTACACTATCTTCAACTTTCTGGATTCTCTTTTCTTGCTTCTGTGGAGGAGTGTCCTCTGGCTCTTTGTGTTCTAAATCTTCGTCTTGATTCTTGCGATCTTCCAGTCTGTTTTTAGGACTCTGTGTAATATTTTTTATTTCAGACAATGTTTTCTTCATTTCTAGTTGATCTCTTATTACTTCTAGTTGCTCCCTTTTCATATCCTCATAGGTCTCATTTATTTTATCGGCCTTTTTTAGGATATTCTTTTTTTTAAAATATATTTTATTGATTTTGTACAGAGAGGAAGGGAGAGAGATAGAGAGTTAGAAACATCGATGAGAGAGAGTCATCGATCAGCTGCCTCCTGCACACCCCCCACTGGGGATATGCCCGCAACCAAGGTACATGCCCTTGACCAGAATCAAACCCGGGACCCTTCAGTCCCCAAGCCAACGCTCTATCCATTGAGCCAAACCAGTCCTGGCTTAGGATATTCTTGAATAATCTTATAACTGTAGTTTTGAACTCAATGTCCAATCTTTTCTTTTCCTCCATCTCCTCCCTTGTGTCTTTCCTCTTGTCTGCATTTTAGTTGTTTCCCTGATTTGATGGAATAGTTTTGTGTGCTAGGTATTCTGGTAGAGCCCAGTAGCACAGCATTCCCAGTTACCTGTGGTGGACAGTCTTGGTGTAACCCTTTGTGGGCTGTGTGTGCAGTCTTGTTGGTAAGCCTTGCTTATTGTTGGTATCACTGGGAAGCGTTGATCTCCAAGCCAATTGGCTGTGAGGGTCAGCAGTGTCTCAGCTAGGAGGGCTTCTGTACTCCACTTGGATGGGGCAAGGTCTCGGGGTGGCACAGACAATCTTTGGTTCCCTGTCAGTCTCGCCTTAGAAAAGTCCTGTTCTGTTTGCAGTGAGTTTCAGAAGATTGGTTGCAGGTGCGCACACCTCTTTGGTGAAGGCGCAGACAAGCTTTGGATTCCTGCCAGTCCCTCCTTAGAGAAAGCCAGACTCAGGGACAGCTTCTGTGCTCAGCTTGGATGGGGCAGAGTCTTGGGTTGGTGCAGACAAGCTTTGTTTTCCTGTCGGCTCCTCCCCAAGTCCGGCAGTAATGGCCTCTGGCTTCATACACCTCCGAGGGATCTCTGCCTGCTGCCTGAAAGTCTGGCCTCTCCCTGTCTGGGGCCGTCTATCAGAGCAATAGGATGATTCTGTTTTCCTCTCGAACAAGAAAGCCAGCGGCCCCTTAGCTGTCGGCCCTCTCCATGCACCAGGAGTAAGCCAGCAGCAATCTTGGCCCTTCCTCTCCATGTGCTGGGAGTACGCCAGCGCCTTTTTGCGTGCACAGTTCTCCGTACCTCCACAGTTCCTGAAGTTCAGTGTGCCTTCTCTCTCCTTCCCAGATGGCAGAGCCTCCTCTCAGCTAGCCGTCAGGTGCTTCAGGGCAATGCCTCCCCTGTTTTCCAGTTCTAAATTTAAATTTGTTGTGGTAGGCTGCATTCCGGTGTCTATCCTATGCCGCCATCTTGGTTTCTCCTCAGAAATTTTATTTTTAATATAATCCCATTTGTTTATTTTCTCCTTAGCTTCCTTTGCCCTAGGAGATGAATCTGTAAAAGTATTGCTATGAGAGATGTCTGAGATTTTGCTGCCTATGGTTTCTTTTGGGATTTTTATGGTTTCACAACTTAAATTTGAGTCTCATCCATTTTGAGTTTATTCTTGTGTATGGTGTAAGTTGGTGGTCTAGTTTCATTTTTGTTTGTTTGGGTGTTTTTTTT